TGGTGTTATTCTGACTTGTTTTTCTTCATTAATGTACACAAAAACAAGCAATTTGGTCTTCTTTGAAGAGGGGGAAAAAAACAATACCATTCATAAAACAGAGGAAAAAAAGAGAAAGAAAAAAAATATCATATATACATACGAAACCAAAAACTTTATATACTTAACTCTTTTCTAGAGGTACTGTGCAAGTTTTTATTCTGGCATCAAAACCCCAAGACTTGAAGAATGATTCCTTACAGCACCGGCAGAAGCCACCACAGTACCTCTTTACCTGAAAATATTCCTTAAACAACATAATTGTGTAAAGTACAACTAGCAAAGCAATCATTTCATAGACATGATAAATATATCTATAGAACACTTTAAATTACTACTTAACGAAATTACACCCCCTCTTCTCAAGACAGCCCTGAAATTGTAGCATCATTAGATACCAAAAAGGCATTTGATCGGGTGGAATGGGACTATCTTTGGATAGGTTGGATAGGTTCGGATTCGGCACCAAATTTATAGAGTGGATTCATCTGCTGTATATTTCTCCAGTTGCTACAGTGGTTACTAATAAATGGAGGTCAAAAAATGTTCCTTTGTCAAGGGGCACTCGGCAGGGGTGCTTTTGTTTACAATTGCAATTGAACCCGTCTTTAGCACTAAAATCTACACCCTTTTTTCATGGCAGGGTTAAGTGGGGTGTCGAACATAAGCTCTCATTATATGCTGATGACCTGCTTCTTTATATTTCAGATCCTTTATCATGCATCAATGACATTATCAAAGTCTTGCACAATTTTGGGACCTTATCAAAATCTTGCACAATTTTGGGACCTTCTCTGGCTATAAGTTGAATATCTCTAAAAGTGAATGCATGCCTGTTAACACACTTGCCAGGCATATGCCTGATTCCATGTTTCCCTTTTGCATGGTAAGATCTAAATTTAAATATCTGGGAATCAATATCACTCAAAACCTTTAAGGACTATATGAAAATAATTTCACTCTATTGACTAAACTCAAATTTCGGTCTGTATTAATCAAGCCTCTGAGAATTACTCACGAGAACACTGCTAAGAAAAATTTCTTGGCTCAAAAGCTACGCTTAAAAGTTAGTTATCAAGCATCTCATTCATAATTTACGTGACGTGTAGGACTAAATAGATTTCCTTATTTAAGAATATTCTCAGATAAATTCACATTGAATGGTGAAATTCCTAATAGGAGTTTTATTCAACACACATTTGACAATAAAGAATTTTCAAGAGAATACATTATGGCAAGGAAACGAAGCATCATCACAACCTTCAATTTAGGGCCGATAGACGATAGTATCATGTATCGCCTGTTGCTGATGCCTTTGACGATATCAAGACGATTATTATTATTAGTATTATTATTATTAGGCTATTATCCATCAAAAATAGACTATCTTTAGTGATGTAGTGTGGAGAGCCGCTAATGGGACGCTTCAGAAACCTGCCGCGGCGCAGCCTGTACACAAGCATTGACAAGTGGCCGCGATCAGCTCCGGTGGCCGTGACGGATCCATAACGCACCGCAGACTTTTTAAAGTGCATAAACTCACACTAGACTGAAGTCAGTGTTTATTCTTTGATAGTGTAAATGTTCTTTGCTAGTTTTCTGTAGCTGCTGTTTGAATAACTGAGGAAATGTAACTGTTTGATTAATGGCTCGTCGTCAAACATTTCAAGAACATTCTTCCTCTCCTGAAAGATTCACGCATGTCTCTGTCTCCTCAGCGCCATCACAAGCCCCTACTGGCAACTCCTAACCATTTGAGAGACCTCTCGCGCTGTCTTAAAGCACTCTTACTCTCCCCGTTATTTAAGAAATTTGATAACTTGTTTTTATACTTAAGTTTGAAAGTAGGAGTAAATTTAATGAATTCTCAGCACTTAAGACTAACGTTGTCATGGGTATAGTGTCACTTTGAACTTATCATCCTAGAATTTCTTGCGCAGTCAACTTAAATGTAACCCATCAAAGACAACCCAGGTGGGACTTGAACCCACAAATCCCAGCTCTGATCTTTGATCTTTAGTATACCTTTAAAGAGTTTCTGACACTCAAAAAAACACTTTAGTGTCATGATGGCAGGCTGCGTACCATCATTGAGGGGAGAAGTCCAGTGTTCAAGTCACATGCAAGTAGCGGAATCAGTCAGTTGAATCCTTTGTTATGTTGCAGTACTGAGCCTAACTCAAAATTGGTGTGGTTGGGAAATCCCTACATCTGTTTGTTTTCATCTGTACCTCAACATACCCAGGATTCGGCACATTAGTAAAAATTCATAATTATCAATCCAATTCACTATGCCTTTCAACTGGTGTTCCACAAGGGGCCATATTGGGGCCAATTCTCTTTAGCATGTATATTAATGATTTACCCATTGTGTGTCAACAATGTAATAATGCTGATTATACAGTCATTTTCACACATGGTAAAAATGTAGAAGAGGTTGCAAATAAGTTAACAGTTGTTCTGGCCAAAATCATATCCTTGCTGAATCAGTGTTATCTGAAATTAAATGTGTGAAAAACAGCTTGTATGTTCTTTTCTAAAGGACATAGTATTGATATAAAACAGGATATTTTCATTTCGGGAGAGAGATTAAAGGTTGTTTTGGAATATATACTTAGGGGTACATTTGGACTTATGTCTTGGTTTTAAAACGCATATAAAAAAAGTATGTAAAAAGGTAAAATTTAATTTAATTAATTTTCGGTTTACTAGAAATTCTTTATCAAATGAGGCTGCAAAGGTATATTTTCATTCTATGATTCTTTCTCATATTACTTATTGTCTGACAAGTTGGTCTAATACGCATGCTATAGTTCTAAAACCATTAGAATTATTGTACAAACAAGCACTTAAAATTTTAGATTAAAAAAATTAGTTTTCACCATTGTAATATCTTAAAGGGGTCATATGATGTTGCTAAAAAGAACATTATTTTGTGTATTTGGTGTAATGAAATGTGCTTATGCGGTTTAAAGTTAAAAAAACACATTATTTTCCACATACTGTATATTATTGTTTCTCCAACAATGTGAACATTAATGTTGTTTATATATCTTAATAAGCTGCTTTCTATTTTAATTTTTTTTATACATATTTCTTTATTTTTTGTATTGTCATTTTGTATAATTTGTTGTTTAATTTTTGGTTGAATTTCGTTGTTATTGTTTTTCTATTTTGTTTCTGTATTTTACTCTAGTTTTTTTGGCCTCATAACATCTGGCAAAGGACTACCAATGAAAACTAGCCTTTGGGCTAATTTGGGTACATTTACATTCACGAATGTTGATTAATGTACACTGTCCCTTTTTTTTTGTGAAATAAATATATAAATTAAAAAAATGGCACTTTGAGAAGCTTGATAAATACAGGCCCTGATCTTCAAAAATGGAGGACTCTCCATCTATCTCTGGTTGGCAGAGTGAACTGTGTTAAAATGACAGTTCTTCCAAGATTCTTATATCTATTTCAGTGCCTCCCCATCTTCCTATCCAAAGCCTTTTTCAACACACTAGATAAACTTATTTCCAGTTTTATATGGAATGGGAAAATCCCTAGGATTTTAATATAATATATATTAATATAATATAATTTAATATAATAGTATAACTTTTTATACTATTATTGGGCGGCTAATGTCCAAAAGATAATCTACTGGATGTGCTCATCAGGAGGTACTGATAGGTATGAAACACAATCTAAATCCTGCACAGTAACCTCTCTACAAGGCCTAGTAATATCTAGCTTACCTATTAAAATAGCACGATACACATCAAATCCAGTTATTCATTTCACTCTTAAAATATGGACTCAGCTACGTCAGCATTTGAAGTTAAGACAAGCGCCCTTGTTTCAGAGTCCAATATGCAACAACCATGCATTCCTGCCTGCAAAACTAGACTCTGCATTTAAACAGTGGCAAGATAAGAGCACTCAGTTTGGCGATCTTTATATTGATGGTCTTTTTGCAAGCTTTAATGATCTGCGTTTCAAATTCACTCTTAATTCAGCCAACCTTTTCCCTTATTTTCAGATACATAATTTTGTGAATGCCCAGTGCACATCATTTCCAAATATTCCCTCAAAGTCTCCTGAAGACTCTCTGTTGGAAGTACCCTACCATCTACAAGGCCTTGTTTCAAGAATATATATAATTCTTATGTCCTTAAAAAGTGTTGGAACAGACAAGATTAGAAGCAGATGGGAGAAAGCGCTCGGAGTAGTATTTTCAGAGGAATTTTGGACCAATGCCCTCCGTAGAGTGAACGGAAGTACCTCTTGTGCCCGATTGAGTTTAATGCAGTTTAAAGTATTGCACCGTATGCATTTAAGCAGAACACGGATTGCCTCCTTTAATCCTACTTTTGACAGGACCTGTATTAGGTGTCACACAGGTGAAGCAGACCTGACTCACATGTTCTGGACGTGCTCCACACTTACTGCGTACTGGTCAACCATATTTGATGCACTTTCTAAAGTGTGTGAAGCCCTGCTGAAGCCATGTGCTGAATTTGCAATATTTGGTGCTCCAGGTGATGAATCAAATTTGACTCAAAGACAACTAAACATTATTGCCTTTGCATCCTCATTGGCTCGCAGACAAGTTTTATTACATTGGAAATCTACAAATCTGCCCAAAGTGTCACACTAGCTTCAGGATTTAATGTTATACCGTATCATATTTCTCTGCTAAAAATGTACTTCCTGTGGAGTAATGTGATTTACATTGTTATTGCAATTTCTTCTTTCTTTTTCACCCCTCTCTTATGCAGTGTTTATGTTGTTCATTACAGCGAATTGACATTGTAATATTCCTGATTGTGGTATCCAATTACCTTTTTATTTATTTATTTTTAATTACTTTATTTTTCATCATTATTTAACTATTAAATCATTCATCTTTATTGTATTTTATTTTCTATTACCATTATTGTGATCACTATTATCATTATTATTATTATTTATATTAGGCAGTTTGTTCTGGGTTGGTTGGGGAGGGATTAATAATATTAAAATACAGTTTCTGTACAAACAATATCATTTGTCTTTGGAATAAAGATAAAGGGAATTAAAAAGTGTCAGCTGCCAGAAATTCACTGTAAAACACATAATGTTTCCAGTATTACAGAAGACATTGAACTCCACTTGCTCCTGATGATATGGAACCCTGATGGACAGCCTCCATCACTAGTTCATTAATCTAGCATGTACATTGCTTTGGCTGAAAGCGTCTGTCAGACAGATGGCTTTAACAGGGATAGATGACTGCTTTAACAGGGACGTGAGCCACCGGTAATGCTGCTGAGACCAATGAGTAGCAGACGTAAGACCAGAGCGGAGGAGTCAGACGAGGGCTTCGGCATGCTCATGATTGCCTCCATCTGCTCGCTGTGTTGCCTCTTCATCAGATTCATAGTCTCAGCGTGTCTTTTGTTCATGTTTGCTATCATCTTTTCAAACAGTTTTTGACTTTCCTTCTCTGCGTTTTTATTCTTCCTCCTGAAGTCCTCCATCTCTTCAGACATCCTGTCAGCCTTCTCCTGAAAGCCCTTATCCAGCAGAGCAGCCTGCTCCCTCAGTTTGCTGTCCATGGCACGCTCGGCCTCCTCTCTCTGAAGCCTCATCTCCTCATCCATCTTCTCCCTCATCTGTCTCATCCTCTCTTCATTACTCCTTCTCTCTGCTTCCATCTTCTCTTCTAGCTGTCGCTGCTTCTGTTCCATGGTGTTTATTTCTTGAGCCAGGAGAACGGCCTTCTCTCTTTCCTCTGGTAGAAGACAATCAGGCAAATGTAATAAAGCTTGTAATATTAAACTCAGTTCCTGGAGGGCCACAGCCCTGAAGAGTTTAGCTCCAAGACCTTCAGGCTTATTTGAAAACCATATGGTGTGAGTGTTGTAGCAGGTTGGGACTAAACTCTGCAGGACTGCGTCTCTCCAGGAACTGATTTTGACACTCCTGCTGTATATATGAATATACTAAAATGTATTTGAAATACATTTATTTCATACATACAAATACATTTACATATTTATGTACTTAATAAAAAATACCCTTTAATTCTACTTTTGGTATATTAACTGGTATACTTAAAGTCTGCTAAATTGGCAAAACTAATTTTGTACTTAATTCATAATTGTGCAGAAGCAGTGCTGAAGTCCAACTAAAGATATACTGAAGTATATTTGATTGTGCTAAAGTGGAACTATTGCACGTATAC